CCCCCTAATTCCCCAATAAAAATCTTAAAAAAAAAAAAAAAGAAGAGAAAGGACACTCCAAAGAGTTTGGAGCAGGCCGAGCAAAGGAAGCTCAAAAGGCCCTGACTAGCAAGGACGTGGCGTTTTTTATCCCTTCTTCCTCTAGAATGGGCTGTTCCTCTCTGGGTGTGAGACCACCTGATTGATCTCATCTCTTTAGAAAAGGAGTTTATTAGAAGAAAAGAGAAGCTTTGAGTGGAGAGGGGAGGTCTTTTGGGCAGTGCATTCTTTGGGATGTGCAGGAATGCAGAGACCCTTACCTGCCTCTAACTGCCTGCCTTGTTTTTCCCTTGAGAGACGTGATCCCCATTAAATCTCTATGGGAAGCTGAGGGACAGGAGGTCTTTTCTTCTATATCTACTCCCAGCTGGGCAGGGGCGTAGAGCTGTCCCTGCCTATTAGGGGATTCACGGAACTCACACCCTATCTGATCTCACATGAGAGGAAGGGGGTCTCGAGATCCGGCTGGAAGACCGTGTTGGCTTCTTTGGTTGCAACTGGCAATCTTGCTGGGATACCCTCTGTATCCCCAAGGCCCCTAAATAAGGAAAAATAGATTTTAATTAATAAATTTCTTAAAGAGCAGAGCTCAAAGCTATTGATGTTAGGGTGGCTGTGGGTTTGGAAAGAACATTAGGCGATTATCCAAGAATTAGGTCCAGAATGGCTTGGGGGATGTCGGGAAGTCACAGGCTTTTAAGTAGTTACCTAAAGCTGGGGTGGATGAGAGATATTCTGTGATTCAGTCTAGGGGCAATCTTTAGTCTAGGTTTCAGAAACTGATTAGAAGAGTAATCAAAGCCAGGGGCTAAGAAACTAGAGAAGAGGAGATTTAAAAGTTGTCCAGTGTGTGTGTGTGTGTGGGGGGGCGCCCTACTCGCTTGGCCCGCATCAGTAGGGGGCGCAGGGAAGAGAGGCTGATCCCGAAAGCTGGGCCAGGCATTTTGTCCACTAAACAAGGCTCATCTGTAGATGAAACCAGGTGCCGTTCCCTCCTGCCCCCTCATTTCTTAGTCATTCATTCATTTATGCCACAAATAATTGTTATGTAGGTACATGAGGATCATTGAACAAGCCTGGCAAAACCCTCACCCTCAGGGGCTTACGGTCCAGGGGAAGTTAAACTGATAAACTAGATGATTTCAGTAATTCATTCCACAAATAATTATTACTTCATTTTTCAATCATCATGGAGCCTTCACTATAGGCGAGGTGCTGAGAATCATTATTACACGAGAGGCAAAACGCTCGCCTTCAAGGGCTTATATTTGAATGGAAGTTAAACGGGGGTGATGTCTGAGAGTGGTAAGTGCTAAGAAAAATGCAACAGGATGTTGTGATGGAGGAACTAATACTAAAAAAGGGTGCTGAAGCAAGACCTCTCTGAGGGGTGACATCTGAACTAAGTCCCACCTTATAAACCCAGAGCCGTGAAGCGTTTCCGTCTGTCCCATCTGGCACGCATGCTCCCTAACCACACCCTTCATCAGGGCTTTAATCATACTGGCTGCTGCTAGTGTCTCCTTGTATTTGTCTTCTCCCCGCCCAGGGTCATAATCTCTGGGAGGGCAGACGGTGTAAGCACCCAGTTGATTGGCATTCCCAAGCCTGAGTTGAGACAGGAGATGGGTGGTTGGTTGGATGACCCTGGAGTCCCCAAAGTCTTGGATGAGACAGGAGTTGGGAGAAACTTTCTAGTGGGGCGCCATGAACTTTTCGCTCAAGGGACCCCTACAGGCACCGTCCGTGAAAGCCAGCTGACTGCATCTGCCAACAGGCCTCGCAACACAAGGCGAGCAAGACCCCGGCGGGAACGCACAGGCGAAGCGGACGGGTCCGCTGCCTCCAGGAACCCGCTGGGCCTGACCCAAGTCGCCCAAAGGTCAGCGGCCCCCGCGACACCCGCGAGGGGGCGGGCCGTCGGCCGCATGTCGCGCCTGCGCAGCACAGTGACCGCGCTGGCGTCCCCGAGCGCAGCTCCCGGAACTGCGCCGGCGCAGTGCGCCCGGCGCTAAGGGGCGGGGTTTCATTGCGCCGCGCGCAAGACTGGGGTAAATCCCGGGCCGGGATAGGGCGTGGGGCAGTGCGTCGGGACGTCCCTCGCGTCGGACCCGACGGCGCGTGCGCGCTGCGAGGCGGCCGGGCGGCTTGCGGGCGGAACGGGGGCAAGTGTGGCCTCTTTGCCTCTTTGCGCCGCCCGGATATCGCGCAGGCCCCCGGCACCATGAAGATCTGGACTTCGGAGCACGTCTTTGAGTAAGTTTGGGGCGTGGGGCGGGTTGGCTGGGGGTACCAGGCAACTCCGGGGTGGGAGGGTAAGCCTGGCCTGGAGTGGCGGTGAGGTCGAAGCGCCCCTCAGGAAGCTTCCAGGCGTCGGGCCTAGTGGGAGGGGCTGGTCCTGAGCCTCGCGAGTTCCTGGGGGGGGGGGGAGCGCCCAAGCCGCCCTGTGCCCCAGAAACGGGCCCCCAGGGGAAAGAGCCCCGACCTCCAGCGCTTCCGCCACTCTAGCGGAGGGGTGGGGAGAGGGGGGCGGCGGAGACCGGGCACTTGGGGCCTGTCCCCTGGAGTGGTGGGAGCGTCGCCGAGCACGAGGTGCTTGAGTGCCCTCGGAGGTGGATGAGGCCCCTCATGTCCACATCCGGCCTTCGCACCCCGTGGGACACGGACTCGAGGATCCCAAGAGGAAGGCGTGGGCGCTGTCAAGCCTGTCGTCGCCCCGCCATGGTTTGGGTGGCGTTCCTCACCTCGGAATGTGACCGTGATGAGCTGGGGCAACCAGGAGGCGACACTGGGCCGGCTGCTTGTTGACCTGAGGAACGGGGCCTTGGCATTGGGGTCCAAGGGTCAGCTCTGGCCCCAACAACTGGGTGACCTTGGGCAACCCGTTTTCATCGCAGACGCGGAAGAGGGTGGACTTGTCGGGCCTGCCAGTGAGGGATGGTTTTTGAGGCCCCGTTCAGTAATATCGCCTCGGTTAGCTAGAAACGTTTAGTAACAAGTACATATGCCTTAAACCAACTGGGGAGTAACTTCCTTTCTGGGTCCATGATTCCATAGCCAAAAGAAGAACCATGTGTGAGCAGCTATGTTATTTTTTGCCTAAGTAGTTATTCGGTTGTCCTAGCACTCTTTATTTGACTAATTCGGCTTCTCATTGGTTTGAAATGCCATCGTTGTCTTAAATACTGTTGTGACATACATATATGTGTGTGTGTGTGTATATATATATATATGAATCCTTTTGTGGCTCTGTTCCACTGATCTTGCTATCTTGCTAGTGTAGCCACACTTTTAATTTTTATAGCTTTGCAGCGTGTTTTAGTTTAACTGTTTGATTTCTTGAAACAGTGTTTTTTGAGGGCAGTTGTTTAAAAGCAGTTAAAATTTTTTACAGACTCAGTGAAACAGACACATCCACAGGTCCCCTGGATGGTGGAAAGTATAGACTGTTAGAATCCGAGGGGCGGTTTCTTTTCTTCCTAGTTCATTATCGTTCTGGGGGGAGGACCCTAAATTTTGTAGTCTTTCTGATTGTCATTAACCTGGTCACATTCTTCACTGCTCCGTTTCAGCCCTTGGGATCAGGAATGGTGCCTTCCTTGCAGTCATTTTCCGGGTTTAAATGTTTCAACAGTTCTTGGCACTGCGTCTCCCTAAAACTTTCCTCTGCCTTTTCTGACACTCTATTCCCTGGCTTGTCCCCTACCCCCATTGCCACTCTTTCTGGCCTGTTTCCTTTAACATTTCTCTGTATTCTTCCCCTGAAGTGTAAGTGTTCAGTGAGATTCTGTTGTTGGCCTTCTTGTCTTGCATTTCATCAGTGCTTCTTTTTTTTCTCTCTTTTTGTCACAGTCGCCCCTGAGATTTGATGAACGCTCTAAGACCCTCCTCCCAGAAAATACACTGTACATATCTTGGGAGAGAAGCCCTGATCCCGACTCTCCCCATATAATCAGGGCTTTTCGATCAAAGGCCCAGCTGATATCCACACATTTATGGAACCCAAATCTTTACCTTGGGCACCAGCATCTTGCACTTCAAATCCTTATTTTCAGGTCTTATCAGATATCTCGACTCATGTCCCACAGGCTCTTCAAACTCAGCATACCTGAAATTGAAGTCACAGTCTCCCCTCACAGGCCTTAGACCATTTCCCTGTGATTTCCATCTTGAGGCTGTTACTGACATCATCGAAGTCATCATTCTGTGTCTTACCCATCTTTGCTTTTCCAACATCCCCTCCTGAGGCCCACCATATCATTTGCATCCAGTTGAAGCCATTCATTGACTCCAACAAATCTGAATGCCCACTATGTGCCAGGCACTGTTCTTTGGATTGGTTTCATTTGGTAAATGAGTCAAGACATTGTTGCTACTTGAGTGGAGTTAACAGTGTCTCCCGCCTCATTTTATAGGTAAAGAAATTGGATAGGTCAGTAAGCTGCCTCCATGTTCTCCAGACTGCCCTTTGGTGCTGTCTTTGAATGTCTTCTAGGGTGAGGTCTTGTTGCATAATTACATTGATACATTTAAAATTAATTGCTGGATGACTACTGATTGTAATATAATAGGCATCTTTTGTAGTGTTTGAGCCAGTTCATAGAGCAGAGGGCAAGCCAACTCAACATTGGTGTTTTCAAGTTGGCTCAGAGAAGAGAGGACTAAATTGCAAATAATGCATAAGCACCCTGAAGCCGTACAGTTATTAATTTTTTGGAGGGGATGGGGGAAAGAGACGACTGCAAGGAAGCCAGCTAACCATGGTGTGTGGCTAGATGAAGATGGGAAGGGTTTGTGCGCTTTTCGTTTTAGATAGTTGCCTTAGTAACAAGCAGTGTTTGGCCTGGATCACTTGTGTTTGTGGGGACTGTTTAGATTTATAAAGTAGCTCCACTTATTTACCTGCATTGATTGCCTGAGATTAAAAACAGGATGAGGTCCTTCATATAATATTATAGCAAAAATGAAAACATTAAAAATAGTGTCACTGGTTGTCCAGGGTTCTGGAAACTGAATGGTGTTCAGCTTTTCCCTGTTGGCAGGAGGCAGCTGTCAGGCTTAGCTCTCTGAAGAGTTGAGTTACCTTTCATACTCGGCGTAGTCCATAAGGGCTGTTTTGAAAAAGATGTCTACTGTGTAAGCATCTCACTCACGTCAGTTGTGAAATGAACAAATGTGCATCATGTTGAACCCCCCAGGCATGCGCTTTTTCAAGAAGATAGAAGAGCCTGCAGGTTCCATGATGCTGCTACCATTTCAATCCTCGATGATAAGCAAATGCTGATTATATTAAGAATAGTAGAAAATAGCATATTAGGAGCATCTTAAAAACATTTTATTGTATTAGTGACCTTTTCAAAACAAATCAGAATCCCTCCTTTGAGGAAAACAATGGATAAAGATGGGAGGGGCTGCTGTTACTTATTACCTTAATATGAGAGAAGCATTTTTAATATTATCCACAGTAATGCTGTAGATCTTTTTGTGATCTCTGTAAGAATTTATAGTGCATGTAAGTTCTTTTAGTTGTTACTTCTTTGTAACTTAATAGAAGTTTTAAGAAACTGGACTGTAAAAAAAAAAAGAAAGAAACTACTGTGGTACTCTATAGGCTATTCTACTCTTCATGGACATTAATGGAACCATATAGGCTGTGTGCTGGAAAAACACTGAAACCTACATGTGTTTAAAATATAGAGAGAGCCCCCCAGAGTCATCTCTCAGTCAATGTTCCAGAAAAGAATTTTCCCTACATAAAGTAACTAAACTGGACAATAATTCAATGGGTTATAAAGCTGGCTTAATCTATATGCATAATTTTAAATGTTTGATTTTGGTTTATGTTGGCAGCCACCCATGGGAAACTGTTACAACAGCTGCAATGAGGAAATACCCAAACCCTATGAACCCAAGTGTGGTTGGAGTTGATGTATTGGACAGACATATAGATCCTTCTGGAAAGTTGCACAGCCATAGACTTCTCAGCACAGAGTGGGGACTGCCTTCCATTGTTAAATCTGTAAGTATGTCTCTATTCCTGTGGAAATGTGACTGCTGGAGAAAAGTTTTCTAAACCACATTATAATTTCAAATAGGTTGTGGGAGCCAGTTCCGAATGTCATTTCTGCATCAGTTCAAATTGTATTATAATAAACTTGAGTTATGAGTGTATAATGAATTAGAAATATTATTACAGTCTTCATGAAAGCACCTGATAAAACCTTCTGCAGGAAGCCAGCTAATGCTCTCAAATCTAAAAGGAGTTATTCTACTTCTGCTTTGCCACCAACTGGAGACCCACAGTAAGACTTGGGAGTCACAGGCTGTTAGCTGGCAGTTGCTGTGGTCAGTGGCGGGTCGTACACTCAGCGAGGAGCATATCCTTGGGCTCAGCTGTTGCCACATTAGTGCCAAGGTCTGGCGCTCCGCCGCATACGTTTCAAAACCGAATTCTATTCAGATACAAGCAAGCAGGCTTTAGTGAGTCGGTTTAATCAGCAAGAAACTGTTTATAATAATGTGAGAGAAGCCTCGTATGATAAGTGGACCCGGTTTTCAGTAGCAGCTCTCCTTCTAGAAGGTAGGTCCACTCAGAACTAAAGTACACATTTGTCAACAGGAACATCCTGATTGCTTCCTTTGTACAGACCACTGCAGTGGGTAGTGGGGACGCAGAAATGAGCAGGACCAGGGGATTGGCGGGGAGTCAGCACAGGCAGTGACGCTGCATGTGAGATACTGTCCTTCATGAGATAGCTGCTTTTCTGTCTGGACAATGAAGCCACGGCCCCCTGTCCCTTGGACTCCTCTAGAAAAACACTGACAGATACTCGAACTCTCTTTTTTCTAGATGCCGTGTTTTCCCAAAGGTTCTGATGTCCGTATTTCAGGCTCACTGCTCCATTCGCGGGCGGTTTCAGCAGCCTGCCTTGTATCGCATACATTCTTGCCAGGCTGGCTGCCAGTTGCCTCCGGGCAGGGTTTCTGTCTGTGTCTGAATCTCATGTCATCCGTGACGTGTGACTTCATGTTACTCTCAAGTGGGCCTCCTTCCTGACCTTTGTCTGATGCCTCATGTGTTTTATGAAACAGATTTTTGGTTCAAGACATTAACACATTTTTCTTTCAAATAAAATATTTGATACACTTGTTAAGAAATCGTTCCTCCTCTGATTACTAATTCTGGATGTTTTACTTAGCTTATCGGTGCAGCAAGAACTAAAACATACGTGCAAGAGCATTCTGTAGTTGATCCTGTAGAGAAAACAATGGAACTTAAATCCACTAATGTAAGTTTTGGCTCCCTTTTGTTTTTATTTTAAACTATTTGGCTTAAGTTTTTGTCTCCTCTGCAGCTGACATACAGGGACATTGTGGTGCGGGAAGTGGAAACTTACATGCTAGGTTGTCTTTGCCCATTGAAAGCTTAGCCTCCCTGCTCTGATGAGCCTGCTTATAATTTCTGGGGGACAGCACTCAATCAAGTGAATTTGGGGTGCTGTGCATAATATTACTATTTTAATGCTTTTATCAAATTTATTTTTTAATAAAAAGTAAGCAGTGAATAGTGAAATTAAGTTTCATTTACACAGTAATAGCAAAGTGGTTTATTTGTTGTTGTTTTCTATATTTAGCGAGCAAGATTTTGGTTTGTGAATTACTTTGGAAATGTTTTCCACCTTGGTTTCCAAAATGATTTGATATATATTTTTTAATTTTATAGATTTCATTTACAAATATGGTTTCAGTAGATGAGAGACTTATATACAAACCACATCCTCAGGACCGAGAAAGGTGAGTAAAAAATGTTTTTAACAAACTTACTTTACAAGGTGTTTTAATTTTTTTTATCAAATATTTCTTTAAAAAGTGAAAGTTAGATCATTCTGCTTTTGTTTTGTTCCAGAACTGTTTTGACTCAAGAAGCCATCATCACTGTGAAAGGAGTCAGTCTCAGTAGCTATCTCGAAGGACTGATGGCAAATACAATATCTTCAAACGCTAATAAAGTAAGTACAGCTGCCTCCTTAGTGCTCGTATTCCTGGACTGTGTTTCCTGGAAGAGCTGAGTACTGAAACAGGTGTTAGTCCTCATAAGCTGACTTGGCCACAGTGCAGTGAGACCCCATATAGACTGTTACTGGCACGGGCTCTGGGTGCCAACACACCTGGGTCCACATCCAAGCTCTAATTCTTACCAGCCTTTCAACCTTGGGCAGGTAAGTTAACCTTCCTATGCCTCAGTTTACCATCTTTGAAGTGGAGATTGACTACCCATCTTACAGGGTTAGGTGAAGAGTAAATGGACAGTGTGCATGGCCCAGGGCCCAGCACGTGGGAAGTGCTTGGTGATATGTAGCCACGTGTTCTTGTTTAAAGCACCAGTTCACTACCATTTTCATCATCATTCCTGCCTTCCCCTCCCCACAACCCCCCATTCCATTTTAGACATTTTTTTTTCCTAGTCACTCTAGCCCATGAAGTTATTTAACATGATAGATAGATAGATAGATGTGCTTTGTACATAAAGAGTGCAATTTTTTTCATCACCACCGCCACCTAATTTTTGCCCCATTGAAAACCCATGATTTAAACTAAGTCTAGAAAAAGAGATGCTTAGCGTACTGCATTGTAACACCTTTAATCATTCAGCCATCAAAAGATATTCATAGAGGCCTTCTCTGTGCCAGGCAGAGTGCTAGGCTGGACTGGGGATGCAGCAGGGAACAAAGCAAATGTGGTCCCTGACCTTGTGGAACTGACAGGAAGGTGACCTTAATCACACAACATGTCACTAGGAAAGGAAAAATACAGAAAGGTATGAGAGTATTTAATGAGTGTTTCTGTTAAGTGCTGAACGAGCCACAAGTTGGATGTGAGGGGTGTACAGGAAACATTCCAGGCAGAGGGGCTGCATGTGCAAAGGCCCTGAGCAGGAAGCACAAGATGCTTTTTCTTTCCCTCAAGGAACTGCATAGAGTGCCAGGAGAGAAGGTTGAAGAAGTGGGCAGGGACCAGATCTTTCAGGGCCTGGTACAGGATTCTGGTTTAAACTATAGCCATGAAAAGAAAAGGATTTGACCTTACCCCCAAAAGGGGGACCACTCGAATCATGAAGTAACTAAAATATCATCATTGTCATTTAATTGTAGACTCTTTGGAGAACATCTGATATAAAATAAAAATCAGTGTATAGATCAAGTCAGTTGCTCAAGGCATTGGATATTTGGTAAATAACATTAAGAAAAAGCAGTCAGGGCCGGTCGAGTGGCTCAGTTGGTTAAGAG